GTATTTTAAATTAAAGCTTAAAATAGGTAACTTTTGGTGTAAAATGGTCAAATTGTCGGAACTTTTGCGCACCCACTGTAGGTAGGTAGGTACCTTAGGTACTCACTACAGTTGTACTCTGTAGGGGGCAGCTAATCAATCGACAGACCGGCAAAAAGGCCCAATGACAGTGATGAACACGATGCAGAACATTGTAAAGTCACTAGCGGTGACAGGACGAGGCATGTTTATGCCCGCTATTTCCACTATGCAAGTTATCTTAACTTGGGAGTGAGGGGAAGAACAAGAACCTAACCAACATGAACTAATAAGAATCAAGGCCCAACATTCATTGCCAGGATCATCATGCAGATAAAACCTGATCGTCTATAGAACGGTCAGATATAGTACATCATCCAATGAGACAGGTCGACGAGGGTCGGCATTTGTGACAGTCGCGCTATTCGATGGAAATTATTCGAATGGAATAGGTACCCTTGACGACGTACGTCCTGATCACGGGACCTTTCCGTTGATGCCCGTACCGTACGTAGTCAGGGATGCTTTACGTGCTGTCAATCCTGTCATTGTTTTAAGCGGGAGGCACAGTCGCATCGGATGATCCTGATGATCTTGGGGGTTTTGTCAATGTCAGTCAATGTGGGATATCCTCGCTTGAATCTTGATGATCTCTAGGGCCCCTATATACAACTGTGACATATATGTATATAAGCGTTTCAGTGTCATTAATATCAAGGAGCATCCTGGTTATCTATGGCATCGGTTAGATAGTGATCGATCTCCCTTGTGAACAGAACGCCACGCAAAAGCAAATAATATCATTCACGATTGGTAAGGCTGGCACACAGATATCTCTGGCTCTTGGAGGCTCCAACATAACAATGCTTCGAGTGCCACAAATCAAACGATGGGTTCATTGCCGCTTCTGGTAATAGCGGCTAACGTTAGCCCATGTGGGATGTCTCGGCCATCAACGCCTCATCGCCGTTAAAGGTTTCACATATCCAGCCCTTGGTGATCCATCTTCTCAAGCTGAGACATAGCAGAGCTGTTATTAGACTTGGTTGAGTTGATGGGCCACCTCAAAACATGTTTTCTGCAGCAAGAAGCCGAGGTATCTCTGTTACCAAGGTCTCCCTTGTAAGGCGGCATCAACCTCAAACCAACACATTCAGCCTCCATTCCTTCGCATTTGCAATGGGTGGGCCACGCGGTAAGAATGAGGCTTCGTGCCTCGGTCTTAGACATAAACGGGCGTCTGCATCTGGGCGATGCTCATTTCTTTTGGATGGCCTCAATGCGCATTCCGGATCGCTGGATTTTCTGCCGTTTCAGCCCTAATCACAGATTATTGAAGCCTGGGTTTTCCACCAACAGCTTCTTGTCAGAGCTTCGCAAAATACGCCTCCTATCTCTTTTGGAACAATCTCGTTTTTCGCGCTTCGGGCTTCACATTTGCGCGAGCTCTGAATTGTCCCATCGCTGAAGGCCTCATAAACCATGTCCCTCGTACTTCTTGGGAGGCAGAAGCCTGTGATGCTCAAAGAAGTGCCACTGTTCTTTTAGTCATAGAATATAATGATAGGCCATTCCTAATCAGTGTATTGTGCCGCGGGCTACTCCTAAGAGCTTCAATCTACAAAGATCAACTTTAAAGGGTTTCTGTACAAGACAATACCGGAATAAATGGATATTCCCGTCGAGCGATCCGGGCTTCACCGGCACATCCTTCTCCACTTTCGGTGTGCCGACCGGCATCCCAATTCGGTCACCCTAGACCGGCACCGGCAAACGAGTGTATTATCTCATCAATGTCCAAGTCAACGACAGGGCGTGCTCTAGGTATCTATAAATAACCAGTAAAATACTCCCATTTGGACACGATAGACAAGCATCATTCAGTCATCGTCATCAAGAAACCCTCTTCACCTTCACCTTCAAAATGAGCAAGATCTCTGACTTTGGCCTCCTCTCCTTCGACGTCTACGGCACTCTCATTGACTGGGAGACTGGCGTTCTGAATGGCCTCAAGCCCCTTCTCCAGTCCAACAATGCCGAAATCTCCCGAGAACAGCTCTTGAAGATCTACCATGAGGCTGAGGTTGCGCAACAGGAAAAGACTCCTGACATGAAGTATTCCGAGCTTCTGACTACAGTCCATCCTCATGTTGCAGAGCGTCTCGGCTTCTCTAAGCCCACATCTGAACAAAGCAAGGCCTTTGGCGACTCAATTGGTTCATGGCCGGCATTCCCTGATACTGTTGGTGCTCTCCGTCGTCTCGGCAAACATTACAAGCTCGTTGTTCTGTCTAATGTCGATCGCGAATCCTTCTCCGGCAGCAATGCAGGTCCTCTCCAGGGCATTCCCTTCGACCTGATCATCACTGCACAAGACGTTGGAAGTTACAAACCTAACCTCAACAACTTCAAGTATATGTTGCGGGAAGTCGAGGCCAAGTTTGGTATCCCCAAGGAAAAAGTGCTGCAGACTGCGCAGAGCCAGTTTCATGATCATCAGCCCGCGAAGCAGATGGGCATCAAATCAAGCTGGATTGAGAGACCTGGAGCTAGTATGGGCATCACAAAGGATCCTGTATATAATTGGAAGTTTGCCACACTTGGAGATATGGCTGATGCGTTGGAGAAGGAACTTGCTAGCTGGTAAATGAGTCTAAACTTGGTATAAATCATGTAGTACAGATCATTCGTGAAAAATGATCCAACTCTTAACTTCTTCTTGTACTTGATCTGTGCACCTTTGAGCTCAGAAATATTCAAGTAATTATTTAGCAAAAGTCATTGAGTCTTATCGATGTGACTCTAAGGGAGTCCTTGCAGACTGGTATATTGAGTCAGACTCGGATGTCCAGCCAGAAGCCAAGACAGTTAGCGATAGCTAAGTCAAATCAAATCAAAATACTCATCTATACCTGGCAATGACCTTGCTGTCGTGAAAGGACTTTGAAGGATGTAATGTGGTAAAGTTGTAGTGTACATAGTTAGAATAAAATTCAATATCGTAAATCGTAAGGTATACTATTAAGCCACTGCCTGCTCGAACCCATGATCAAACCAATCTCCCAAATCTGGCAAAGAAATCACTTCCGTACGCGCAGGCAGAGAGCAGCCAGTCTTGTAACCTCCGGCCATGCCAGAGCACTGATACGTAAGCCAACGCCCTCCGAAAACTTCCAGCATAGAGTTCTCCTGTCGAGGCAGCTGAAGCGATTCCCCAGGAACAATCTGCTGCATGGCAACCCAATTTCGAAAGTGGAGATACCCGTCTTCGTCGAGCCTCCCATTGCTGTCTCGTCTCTTTGCGTGGTTCAGTCTGTCGAAAGCAATCTCGAGCCCTTCTACTGTGCGTTTCTCACCACTTGTCGAAAAGACACCGGTTGATATTTCTCGCAGTAATTCCATCCCTTTCTTGCAGGCATCCTTGCAACTGCTGCTCTTGTCAGAGACACATTTTGCTACCAGAGCGAGAACAGCCGCGCAGCAGGAGCTGAACTCCGTGTAAGAAGATTTTGAAAGACTGCTCTCATCGTGTAGAGTTTGACAGAGGTGAATAGTGGTGACGGCACTGTTGATACAGTCGTTGACTAGTTCGCTTCTGAGTGTCGTCCACTCTGCACTCGGGGTGTCCTTAGTGTTGATATTAAGCTCGTCCAGGATAAAAGATCGACCAATCAGGATATGAACCAAATTATATGTCAAGAAGAGGTGTATGTTGGATCGGAATAGTGGCTTGCCAGGCGTCAGGTCTCGACAAAAGGTGTCCTCGGAGAGACTTTGCCAGTAATTGCGAAGCCTCTCCTTGAGTTGGACCATGTTTTGAAATGCTTTGACCTTCTGCACTTTATCTTTGTTCTTCAAAGCCAGACTATGGCTTGTTAGTCATTCAATTTCAAATGGGATTAGTTAGCATTGCTTACATTCCATCTCTAGCATCCTCCATGAAGATAGTCAGTTTGAGCATGGCCATGTTGTTTTGAAAAGTGTTGATTCTTTCCTTGGGTTGCAGTTCTTCCAAATCAATTGGCAAATTAGCATCAATATCTAGTCTCGAGATAGAAACAGGCCGTCCGTGCAAGATGCAAATTCGGCTGTTTTATGTTTATGTTAGATCTTGTAACAAGGTTTCGCTGGGTCTGAACATACCGCTCAAGAGCATAAGCAGTCCACCAAACTCTTTTCCGCTGCTCTGCTTCTCGAGGAGATAGGTCTCGGAGAGTCTTCTGATGAAGATTGAACTGGGTTGCCACCTTGATAGCAATTCCGAAATAGGTACAAGACAAGCCAGCTGGATCGATAGGAAGGACATGTATGCCGAAAAGGAGGAAGGCCTGCACGCTTTCGATGCAGCCCATACTTAGAATATCAGGGATTAGGTTTGTGGCCTTTCGGTAAAATGTCGATGCAATAGTATCATCCATGGTCTGACAGATATCGTGGGTATCTCTCATAAGCTCTCGATTTGAGCCCCTGACCGAAGACTGACAAAGATGCGAGAATTGTGTTCCGAGGGCAAAGACCATCAATGCGACAGAGACCCAAGGGGCATCCTCGCTTCCCACACGCTTAGGACAAGAGTAAAACTGATCGAGGCGCTGTCGAAGTGTCTCCTCGTCGGTATAGAAATAGTTTGTTTGGGCAATCTCAAAGAACACTCGCAAGAGGGTCAGCGCAGAGGGAGCTGGTGGGAATAAAGACACAGCTTCAAGCACTGCTGCGTCTCTGGATAGAAGCCGAGAAGTATTTGCTTTGTCACTGACTGCTGTGTCTGTTCCCGAGTCCTGAACGTGTTGTTGTTATAGACTGGTTGATCTATGGGGTGGGATATCCTACCTCAAACTCAAAGTTGGTCAGCTCATCTTTGACCTTCTTCTGCACACGACGAGAGAACTCATGATGAGAGAACTCTGCGTTTGCTGATACCAAGTTAGCTCTAGCTATACACGGCTGGGAGAAGAACAGTCCCTACCGGTTGATACTGTACCCACACTCGCACAATCCCTCCCATCACAACTCACATCATCGTTCTCAGCCCCAATCACATCTACGAAGTCCTCCTCTTGATTACGTAGAGGCAAAAGATCTGCGATGATGTTCTCAAGCTTCTCCCTGCTGAACTCTTCAAGCCCTGTGTAATGTCTCACGATATGCTCTAGCGCCTGAATACGTTCCGCCTCAAAGTACACAGAGACATCCCCAGACGCTACCTCCACCGTAGATGCTTTGAATGTTTGTGCTGCTGTACGAGAAACTCGGCTTCTTCTGAACCTATCACTGAACTGACAAGGCCTGCCAAAGTATTTGCATCTGTCGCAGGGCATGGAGCCGATACATTTCTCCTTGAGCCGGCGACAATCATCGCATCTGCGTAGAACCAATCAGTTCACATCTTCGGCTTGAGAGAACATAAAGAAACACTCACGCTCTTGTCGTTCTCCTATGTGTTTTCCGGATAGGGGATGTTGGTCGGTACTCTATTGTATCCATACTCACTCAATCACTGGTAACAATTACGGCGGAGATGAATGGGGGGAAAATGAGCATCAATTCAGTCTCAAAACTCTCTAGGGACATCGTGGGGTGTTCCTGATTTTATGCCGGAACTTGATGTCCAAGAATGCGCCGGCTTAAGCTACGGCCCGGTCCCGGAGAATCAACCGGCGACGGACGGCCTCAGAACAGTAATATCTTCATTTAATGAGAGGCAAGGCACGTGAAAGTCGGTCGAAACGCCCACCAAATTTCCTCCTCGTTTTGCCACTTCAAAGTCAGCTCATTAATCTCCGGATCTTGTGCGTCCCCCCCAACTAAGACACTTCCACCGCTGGTTATAAACCCACAAGCCTCTTTCGCAAGGATGCCACCCTCTTCTCCAATTTAACGCGTGATTGACCTTGCAGCTTTATCGGATGCTTTCCCCGGTGAACCCCCCATAAGTTTATCTCTCCAGAAAACAGCCGACGTCATACAACAGTCGGCCACTTATTCAAAAGGGGCAAATATGTGCCGGGCTGGCTTTCAAGTCCCGGGCCGGCCCTGGCACTACCGAGCTCTCTATAGTATGTACTCACCGGTTTCCGGATTCATATCTGAGCTATAAGAAATGTTTCGCAATGGACTGATTATTGCTGATTGTGGCTGTACATGCAATGTCATTGCGCATTATATGCAGCCGGCCTCATAGTTAAGCTGCAGACGGAGCCAATGCAACATGGCGTGATTATGCGTCAACCTCAATATGCAAGTCAAATAACTTGAAGTAAAACATGTCAATTCTCATCCTAGCCTGACCCATGCTCGCTCTAATACTCCTGATGATTCATTCCAGATTCCTCAGTCCGGTCCTGTCTATTGTCCCCCCTTAACCGCCCATCTCTATTATACCGCCCAGAAGCTCGACGATGAGGGCCCTTGCTTAGCCTGGACTTGCAACTTCCATCCTTTTTCCTTTTCCGCTAGCGGGTCTAACTCTGGTACTGTCCGCTCTCATGTTGTAAGGGTGATTTCTAAAGGTATTGCTGCCTCTGAGGTAATGGTCTTTTCCTCATGGAATCCCTAACCCTCAAATAGATTCGAGACGCCCTCCAGTGCATCTGGTGTGGCCCGACGAGCCACATTCATACCTGATCGCGTCGAATCCTGTCCCGACTGCTGGTCGCTCATGAATTGCTGCGCCATCTTGCTTCGGTTCGTTCTCTTGCGATTGGAACCACCAAATCCACTGCTCTTGGGGAGTTTACCCATCTCGGACACGCTCACACCCTTGAGATCCTTGAGCAGATCCAAAACCAAAGCTCGCTGTTGCCGAGTATGCGCACCGGGCTTAGCCATGTACGTCGACAGCCGGTCTAGATCCGTGATGTTCACATTGGGTAGAGAGAGAAGTACGTCCCTAGGTGACGATGTGATGGGGCTATAGTAGACAACAATTGTTGCAATCAGCGCGGCCAAGTCCTTCTGCAGTTCCACAAAGTAAGGCTCATGAAACGATGTGATGCAAGCTTTCAGCACATCGAGCGAGATATATTCCCGAATAGCCGAAGAGATTCCCGGCGGGATAGGAAACCTGTCTGTCGCAAGATGTGCTTCCATTGGGCTTTGTAGCACAGACTTGGGCAACTGGCCATCCACAAGATGAAATTCGGGAACCAACGATATGAACAATCGCAGAATCATGGTGCAGCACCTGCTGTCCCGTACGCGTATGCCGTGGGTGCAGAAGACAAGCAAAGGCTCTACAACCTCCTGATGAGTGAGACAGAACCTCCTAAGACTAGGGTAATCCTTGTCTTGGTCAACTCCCGAATTGCTGTCTCCATTCTGAATCGGCCCATCTAAGTAGACTGTTAGTTCATTTGCTCTTGACAAACCCGGAACCTCCTGGAACTCACTAGGTTTGGTGGGATCGAGAAAGTCGGCCACCATCAATACCGCCGTGTAGGTTACTTGCCGAAGAATACTCTCCGCTTTCATCTCTTCCTTGAGACCATCTTCGCCATCTGCAGCCACCTCCTGCTGCCGCTGCATCTTTTCCCATTCCCCATTGATCTTGGCATCCATCTGTTGAAAGCATGCAGCCAGTAGCTGCGGAAGAAAATACTCTCGGCAGTCAACAGGACAATCGTCAACGAGATACCTGACTAGGTTCAGCAAGTTACTCTGCTGGTGTGTAGACAACCAAACCGAGTCTGAGAATAGGGCCTTGGAGAGAGGCGCAGAGAGTCCCTCGAATCCGTAAAACTGCCGTTCCAAGCGACTCATGCAATAGATGATAGCATAGGCTGTTTCGCGAACAAATCGAACGGATCCTCGGATAGTTGAGGCGAGACCTTCTATCGTGTTCTTCTTGTCCATGACGCGAGCATAGAAATCGTCTTTGCTGCCTTCAGAAATTCCGGCTTGCCAAAACCGATCGCTTAAAATTCGGTGAACAGTCGACACTGCTTCACCTGGTAGTCCGACCCAATTGTCAGGTTTATGTGACGCATGCGCGTAAGTTAGGAACTTGAGCAGATCGGCCAATATTTCTGGGAATCCATCTTGCCAGAGAGCGTACGAGGCCTTGAAAGCATCTGACGACTTATCAAGCCTCTCAACTGAGAAGGCTAGGAAGCTCTTCGTCGAACGAAGCGGAAGGAGCTTAAGTCGTTCCTCGAGTTCGTTCTGAAGAGCAAGTCCTTCAGCATCGAGTTCTTGCGAGCCCCAATCCGCGATCTCATGTGCTCGGCGGCTGGCCATGTAGTTTTGGGCCTTATCGAGTCCCAATAACTCACAGAAGCTGGCGTACGACTCCAGAGAGTTGCGCACGGTATCGGTCTGCCATTGGGCCTTTACAGGATCGATGAACTCACGTAGCTTCTGAATCTTTGCCTGAGCATCCACACTGGTGGCTCGGTGTCTGTCGAGTGGTTAGCGAGCTATTGCTGCGTGTCGTCACTCGTATACTGACATAATGATGAATAGAAAGCTTTTGTAGGCAATGGATCGCTTCTCATCTAAGGATCCAGACGACATCATTTCATTGACTTTGCTCTCTATTTGGTCATACACACCCTGCGAGGGAATTAGAATGGGACCCAAGGCCAAGGTTCAAATCAGCTTACCAGCAGATGATCTGGCATCTCTGATGCCAGTCGCTGCAGCTCAATCATGCTTTCACCCTGCAGGTCCTTAATAGCGTCGTTGAAAGCACGGTACTCGGGCTGGAGAGCTGGCCAGGTCATTAAAATATGCTCCAACACCTTCAGCATGAATGTAGCGTTCTTATTAAGCGCACTAGTAGAGAAGTAGACAAGCAACTGAAGGGTTCGCTTTCGAATCATGGGGTCGTCAAAGCTCATTTCAAGCAGCTTGTTGCACCATGACTCCAGATTAGCTTCAATTTCTGGCCCTTGTTGTTGATGCTCCTGGGGCCGATGCTTGCGCCATTTGGAGTATCCCTTTAGTGTGGCCTCAATGACTGTGAATTGAGCATCGACGCGCAGGACTGGCATGGAGTGCTTAAAATAGTTTTGCTTGTTCAAGGGGGGCTGGCCATCATAGAGATGCTGTAAAAGATCTTCTGTGCGGCCTAGAATGTGCTGAATCGCATCAACTAACTTCAACTGGACAACAGCCTCAATGATCTGAGAGCTATATCGGCGGTAGTTGCCCAAGAAAGCATGTCGTTCAGGGACTGTATCTGTATCCTCCATGAGGTAGAGCAATGTTGCATCTTGAGTATCCTCTGGAAGATTCTCGAATCGAACCAATCTCGAACTGCATGTCTCCAGCAGGGGTGGGATGAAGGCGGAAACAAGCTCGGTTGGGCCAATCAGGCGGTTACTGAGAAGCCGCGTCCATGTGACAAGTACAGGAATAGAGACCATCAGGCTCTGATGCTGCACAACTTGTACTAGGAGCGCCAGAAAGTCTTCCTTGGCGGTGTCTGCAGGCAATTTTGCAAACTTCCTGTCAAAGTAGTCTCCGAGGCAAGACAACATCTACACAACAAGTTAGTATGGCCTGAAACTATGCGCCACTCGACGTACCTCAGATAGCTTCTTCAGCGTCTGGTATTTGTCTTCGTCAACGTCCTCAGGGTCAACTGCAGACCACTCAAAAAGTTGCTTGCATAGTTGTATTGACCCAATTCTGAACATGGGACCAACTAGATCCCGAAACTCGTCGTCATTGAAGTTAGTTCTGCAATACAGAGCATGGAGACCTTCTAATGCCGCCTGTGTTTTGGTCAGCGCAAGTCATTCTTGGACTATTCAAATAAGTTACCTTTTGAACGGTGACTTGTGACGAAGCTAGCCCAGCGCACATAACTTCAACGCAGCGAGCCGAGGAAATGGCCTTCGGGATTGCCCAAGGCATGAGTGATAAGAACACAGATAGGCCCTTGTGGATGCACATCTTGACATCCTCGTTGTCCTTGGGTGCCTGGTTCAGACAGTAATCCAGGAACTGGGACAAACGGCTTAGCCAACCATCATCGCCATATCGCACTGGAGGACCAGGCTGACGGTTAGGGAAGGCCTCCACTAAGACCCCGGTTGGAGTAAAGATCTCAACACAAGCCTTACTCAACACACCTTCCCGCATGGCGACAACTGAGTCGTCCCCAGTGAAGACTTCATCGGAGAGATTCTCGAGGACAAACATTACGAGTTCCTTGTGCACTGGGGAGTCGGCAATATCCCAGAGTTGATAAAGCATAGAGTCCATATCCATCCATTCAGCGCCCCAGCATCTCTTGGCGACCTCAACCCAGAGTTGGGCGGTCTTATTTCTGATATAGGCTGGATCCTCCTTCGCGATGGCTTGGCCAAGGCTTAATACCCATTGTCGCAGAGCGTCCGTCTGTTCTAGGGTGTACGCTGACCATCGGTACCGGATCGCATGCTCTAGCAGAGAGAGGGCGTAGTGTCGAACAACGGGGGATTGAACCTTGTCGGAGGCGAGGTTATAGCCTTGCATGGGGGCTTCGTCGAATTCCTTGACCTCCTCGAGGAAATCCTGGGCTTGCCTACGGGCATCGTTGGACGAGTACGGGCTATGGACGACCTCAAGTGCCTGGTGGATTTTGGTGAGCACTTGAGATTCACCACCGGCGCCAGCCGAGGGCATTGAGCTCCCGTTGGCTGCCATGTTGGTGTTTTCGTCTGGCGGATCAATACGCGAGCGATGGATGGCTGGCGAATGTAGGGTTCACGGAAAAGTAGAGCAGAGCAGAACACGGGAGCAAAAGCGCTTGTTCTACGCAAGCTTTGTAACGGGAGATCTGGTCACGGAGAAATATCTAGGCCAGAGCCATGGAGAAAGGCAGGAGAAGGCGGATCGTCGTTGTCTGCTGTTTGTGGTTCACGGGTTCGAGGATTTCGTTTGCGACGGCGGGAGCAAGATGAAGCAGATAGCGAAGCAAGCAAACAAGCAAGCAAAGAGCCGGAAGTGACAGGGTGTAGATGGCAAGATGCAAATAAGCAAAGCAAATTATTTTTTTCCAACAAAGGCGGTGAAGCAGAAGATAACCCGAGAAGAAAAGATTGGTCACAGCATCAAGTTACTTTGGAGATGGTGAGAGTGAAAGAAAGCCAACCTAAGTGAAGGTGAAAGTGGTGAGAGGGAAGGTAAGTAAGTGTTGGGCTAAAATTCAGAGCTCTCAGGCTGATGGAAGAGAGCCGAGAATGATCAGTGAGCGAGCCTAGACCAGGTACCTAACTTACCTAGTACAGCCAGCCAGCCATTGGTGGCGGGGCAGCCCCATTTGAAACAATTCACCTTGCACCTTGCACGCCTCATGCATGAATTTAGAACTGACAAAGAACTATCGCCCCTAATAAAGTAACAGCTGAATCAGAAAAAGAAAATACAGCCATAGAATCTAAATGGTTTCCTCCGTACAGTGCGGTCTCGGAGTCAGGCGCCCCCGAAGCATCACAGAGAGAGCATCAGTGAACAACTGTCAACTTATTTCTTACCGTCCAACGTGTGCAGCTCCTCATGCGTGTATGTCCACGGCGACACCTACAGCTGGCCCCAGTCGTTGTTGGGGTCCTTTGTTTCTATGTGGCTTATTAACCTCCTGTATGACAGGCAGACAGGGGCCCGGCCATTAACCAAGCTGCAAGGCTGAAAAGGAGATCGATAGGCTTTGATTCTAGCTCACGTCACTCCTATAGAGGGGTTCAGGATCATCATGCCACTACCCAATTTCGTCTATGTGCTTTAGTTGATATCTTGATACTTATGATACGTATCGTACTGTACATTTCGCGACCCGAGATTTGAGTCGTTGAAGCATGATTATCCCAGGCAGAAGTTCATTGACTGTACGGAGTACTGATGAATGTTTTTGAGTCACAGAATCTCACCTAGGTACTCAGCAAAAGAAAACCGCGAGCTTCGTTTGTAGACTGGTCTAAGCTGGTGTCTCCCAAATGTGATGAGATTGAGCTATACATAATTTCGTGGTATGAAAGTGCGTGCACTTTTGCTCTGAGGCCTATTCATTGGCTGGCGCATACTGCCAGAGACAGAGCAGCTTATCATAGAAGCTTGTCGACACACACCGCACAACCCCAGAAGGCTCATCATCCCGAATAAAGTCACTTCCATAGTTCATGCTCTTGTGTTCTTCAAACTTCGCCAGAATCTCGCAACACCAGTCTTTGTCATTCTTGACCTCCAGGTCCAAAAGTCTTGCGCCTGCATGCATGCATGAAGCGAGGATCCTCACTTTTATAGACTCTTTAGAATCTTGTATTTTGACCAGATCCAATCGCCAGACACCTCCTCCTAGGTTTTGCTCAAGCACTAGTTCGACCTTTTTCATGCCATATGATTCGTGCAGATCGTGTATAACGAAAACACGTAGATGGTCGTCGTAGCTGCCTGTCACAACTACTCTGCCTGAGTTCCTTGTGAGTGGGAAAAGTGGCAGAATTGCTGTGACCCCTGCATCATGTGCCCGCTTGATAGTTGCGGGCGAATATGGTTCTTCGCACGGGGAATCAGGCTCACTTGAATCCCAAATGCAGGACGTGTAGCGAAGCATGGAATCATCTCCACCGCAATAAGCTGCGACTTGGGCCTTATCCTTAGTTGAATCTGGTGTTGCGTGTGAGAATGCAATGCACCAGGCCTCGAGGGAATTGGCAATACTGAGATCAGTGTAGTTCTGAGTGATGCGGTACTCGTCGTCCAAATGTAATATTCGAGCAGAGCCTGTCGAAGTTGTGAGACCAATCAGATCTGGGATGTCAGGATGCCAGTTACATTGCAGGAACAAGACATCTTCTGGAATATCGTCACATCTGCTTGTTGATATATGCTGTAAAGGAGCTGAGGGATTTGCCTTCGGGTCAAGCTTGAACACAGCCAGTGTCCCAGTGCTGGACACTACAGCCATAATATACTCTCTGCCTTTCTGGGGATGGAACCGGAGGTCTAGAATAGCTGAAGGCTGCGAAACTGTCTGAACAAGATGACTATGGTCAAACGCGTCAGCAACTGATGGGGCCCGGAAAGAAATGAACTCACAAGTCGTCACCAACGACATTGAAGACTAGCAAGCTCCCATTGCGGCTTTGTGGTGTCTTAGTTGCGGTTGCAGTATCAGTATCAGTGTCATCGTCGTTGTCAGTCTCTTTTTGGAAATCCTCGTTTCTTTCGAGGTTGTAAGTTCCCACCACGAACAAGTTGGGATGCAGTTTACAGAACTGGATACAACTAGGAGGCAGATCCAAGGTTAAGGAAGCCTTTGACGAAACGGTTTTGGAACCATCCATGGCTAATAATGGATATTGAAATGATATGCAGGATTTGACAAAAGCAAGGGCAAGCAAGCAAGCAATCAATCAATCAATAGAAAGCAAATGGAGTTCCAATGGTGGGGTCCGCCTCTTTTACGGATAGTTGTTATCCATTTATTTGAAGTGAGACTGAAGAGGTATGATGATCGCCAGAATTCACAGTTGTAATCCCATATACCAAAAAATTCTGCAAAGCTGCCAGGTATTTAACTACCAGAAGCTCTACATACAGTGGTTGGCTATTTCCTTTACCAACTTGAGTCGTAATCTATGCTGCAGGGTATAGGTTACCGGCCTCAAAGCTTAACTGCCGGACTAGCGCTATCAACACGAACTTGCTTCTGCGACTCCATCCCCTCGTCTCGTCTGGGGTATTCCTCTCCTTACGTCAACACGCGTATCTCTTCATTAATAACTTGATACTTTAACGGATGAGACGGCTGAGGCGTTGATTTTGTTTCTCATGTTTACAACACTTTCGCCTTTGATTTCTGCTTGTTGCGCAGTTTGTGCTTTGGTCCACAAACCCAACAGTTGCAGCGCCATTGCTGATTAACTCAAGGATCTGCTTTGTTCTTTGCTATATTCTCCTCAAGTTCATCTTGAATCAAGGTCATGGAATATTCCGATGAATCTGACTTCTACGGTACGCCCCACCGTTGAATCAAACCCTCATTAGCTTACAGTTTTAGGGGATGATGATATGGTCATGAGCCTTGAAGACCGTGTACAACGATTTGATGTTCAGAGCTGGATGCTCGAGCAACAGCAATGCCCTGGAAGGCCCATTCCCGACGAGTGCAGCGTTCACGAAACATCACATCTTCACAATCCCTATGCTGGGGTAAATTATGCATGGCAGCTTACCGAGACGGTAGATCAGTTCCTCGCACGTCTCCCACCTAGGACAACAGACATCACGGAGGATACGCCTTGGATCTTTATTTGCAATCCGTATATCCCCCGCGTCGAGAAGTCTATGGGGCAGAACCAACTTAGTAAGGGTAACGAAGATGAGGCTCCCGAGGAAGAAGGCAGCAAGACTGCGCTTGTCATGGAAGGTGGCCTGGAGAGACTGGAACTTCTCTCCAAGTTCAAGGACGGACTGAAGAGAACCAACGATGTCCTTGCAACACAAGAGCGGGATCTTCGAAAAGAAGTCAAGAAAGCCTCAGATGATATACTGCACCTGGCGCACGCTGCCAAAGTCCGCGCTGGCAAGGTATGTATCAGAGGACGTCTCGCCAAAACACTACTGACCCTTGACAGTGGATGTTATTCTGCTCACCAGCAGAAGTAAACGACGTGTGGGAGATTGTCGCGAAAGCAACTGCCAAAAACGAGCTTGGCATTGCTGCAAAGGTTGCTCCACGACCAGTCGATGAGGATTCTCGAAAAGATCGACTGATCTGCGTGTACACGACCGACTTCGCAGACAAGGCCGACGTTGGCAGGGTGCTTCAGAAGCTGCGAGAGCTCAGATTGGTTGAAGCTCGAGGAAGACCGATCTACTATAAGCCAGGTGAGTCATGGCTTCGTATTGATGTCAATAAAGTGAGGCTGACGCAAGTCGATAGATGCATATACGTACATAGGGATATCGTTCGGGAATCCCTGGGGTCTAAAAGCGTCGATCTATAAGTCATCTGACATCTTCCAGACCTAACGACGCACAAGAAATGACTCATCTAACCAGGCAGAACAAGGGGAAATGTTCCATCGTGTATGGAGGGTCAAAATCAAGAATCCGAGTGCATAATATAGAGAGAAACAAAAAAGAACAGGATCGTGTCGTCATGACCTTCATAACCAATATCCTAAACGCCCATGATTCCAAGAGATGCTAATTCCGCATGACGCTCAAATGCTGTCGCTGACCCATGCCCACTGTATCCATCGGTATCCATCGATGACTTCCCATCACTGAACCCCATGAAAATACCATAAATGCCCATGCAACCGTGAAAGCTTATACATCGAGGATCTCAAGGTCATTAGCGCTGGCGTCAAGGTCGATGTACTTAAGCGGCAGAACAAGTCGGTATGCACTGTTGCCATTGAGGTAGTATCGGTGCAGCTTCTTAGTGCGCAAGAAACCGAGCTGTTCGTACAATCGCATAGCAGCGACGTTGGTCTCTTCAGTCTCGAGGACAATTTCGTCCGCATTGCGCTTGGTCATGGCGTCGATGGCCTTCTTGACAAGGGTTGTTGCAATACCGTGCCCACGGAAGTCAGAAGCAACAGCCAACATGGCAATGTAGCCTCTTCGAGTGGGATTGGAGTGTGAAGCATGGACTTCCAGCTTACACACTATAACACCGATGAGGGATGAGTCGACTGGGTTCAGTGCCTGAGGACCATTCGTTAGATACCTTGGAATCGACACGAGTGAATTGGTCTCACCATGAAGCAGAGATGTGCCCACTGGCATAAGAAATACCGATATACATAGATGCTGTAAGGCTCACTCAAGTCCTTGGAGATCAATGCCCGGATAGAGGGTAAATACTGAGCCTCGAGGGCATGTTCATATTGTACGTAGCGTAACTCGCCAGGAATGTTGTCGATTTTGGTAGGGGCCATGGGACTATGGGGATTTAAAATAAATAGAAGAGACCAGACTGATTCTGGACAGTTAGTTACACTGTTGAGAGCTGTTGTAGTAGAGTAGTGTTGAAGTTGATGTTTGGGTAAGATCTTAGATATGGGCACTTGAAGGTTTAAAACCAGATCTTGACTTAGGTTGACACGTAAAGAGGGGCAGGCAGAAATGGAGACTCAACCCGGTATCGGCGTGAGGGGTACCTTAAGTGCTGGCCTACTACAGAGTGTGAAGGAGGAAAGGAAGAGGAACTTCCAATGAACAAGAGTCATTAATTCAAGAAAGAGGGTGGGAAGATGTCAAGATTTGGGGCTGGAGGTGGCAATATGCAATGCATTGGAGGTATCACAGCCAGCGCCTCCAACAGTGAATTGCCAGGTTTGGTAAACCGCACCAAAGAGCTGATGCACATGGCCACGAGGGCAAGGCATGCAGGGCCGTTGGCAGGGATTCCGCTGTGCTGCAGAAGCCAAGGACGCTATTTTAGAGCCTTTTTTGATGCTTTTGTGGATGGGAGGGCGGGGGCATTGGAGTAAAAAGGTCCTGCAGGCATGGCTCTAGCTGAGTGAGGAGGTTCAGGATCAAGCCGATATAAGCGATGGACAAATGCGTCTTTAACTCAAGTAAAGTCAATTTAAGCTGCCTTGAGGAGAGGGAGAGACATGGAGACAAGGTCTGTGTCCTTTCATCATCTTAAGCCCAAGCATGTGATAATGACCCTTTCTCATGGAATGGAATGTCTTGATCTCAATGCCTACTATACCTACCTAATCCTTGAAGAAAGAGAAAGATGCTTAACTCTTCTATCCCTTTGTGATTTGGGTCTCTTCCGTTTCATCCGCTCGGCACTTTAAGGTACTTAGCCTTATCTTGGCTTTGACGTCAGGTTCCTGCCTATCAGGAACGGCAAGCATGTCCTTTGAATGAGCTTCCTCCATGGACACTTGGGAATTTTCATGTGATGCACGCAATTGCCAAACATGGAGCAACTCTTCATACTAATTACGTACCACGGTCCGCGGCTTCGATAGAAATTCCATCATCATCCAGCAGATATTTTCTCACGTATTAAATTAGACCAGTCGGTATATCTTCCTTTCAACTTCCGCTGACAGATGATACGATTCTTTAGACTTCGGGCTTTGCGACCCCCCCCGTTTTTTGTCTTAGATTTGGAGCACGCGCCCACCCGCACCCAAGTTAGAGTAGGTGTCTATGGGCGTCATAGCTACGAGCGACATTTCTCAAAACTCCAACAATTCCCCTAGTCTATCTTGGTCCGGGGTCTTTTTTCCTCCCAAACAGCTGACTAAATAAGACGACGCCTCGCGGAGGCTTGTTCTTGCTTGGGTCGACAATATGGCAAAAAACCTGCGGCGCCGAAATGTTCAGGGCCAAGATGAAGATGCGAAAACGAACGAGAGCGACGAGGCTTCAAGGGAGGAAAGCTCAGCGACCGACCCGACAACGCACATTCGTGTTGTCGAGCACGCCGTTCAAAAGACCCGGAAGCGGCGCAATACCTTCATTTTCTTTCTTGGTAGCTTGTTTGGAATAATCGCCGCCGGGTTTTTCGCTTCCAGCAATGATCTTATCGACCTTCCCGAGTTCACCGATTTGTCCATGGACAACCTATTGGATGCTCTGCCAGCTGGATTGGTCAAGGACATACGCGATTTAATCCAAGGCGAGCGCGACTTTGCAGAATCATATGAGCCTTTCTCTGTCGGAACCAAAGCACGAGCTGAAGGTCTTGAAGCACACCATCCCATGATTATGATACCAGGCGTTATTTCGACTGGACTCGAGTCTTGGGGAACAGCCAATATCTCAAAGGCCTACTTCAGGAAGCGGCTTTGGGGAAGTTGGACAATGATGAAGGCCTTGGTCATGGACAAGGAGGTCTGGAAGAAGCATGTGATGCTCGATAAGAGGACGGGACTTGATCCGCCAAACGTGAAACTAAGAGCAGCCCAGGGCTTCGATGCCACCGATTTCTTCATCACAGGTTATTGGATTTGGAGCAAGATCTTTGAGAATCTTGCTTCGGTAGGCTACGATCCGACAAACTCCTTCACAGCTGCTTATGATTGGCGCTTGTCCTACCCGAACCTCGAGGTGCGAGACCGATATTTCACCCGACTCAAATCACACATCGAAGTTGCGCTGGAGGTGGACAACAGAAAAGTTGTCTTAGCATCGCACAGCATGGGCAGTCAGGTCTTGTTCTACTTTTTCCACTGGGTGCAATCAGAGAGGGGGGGGCGTGGTGGTCAGGACTGGGTTGAGCGACACGTTGAGGCTTGGATCAACATTAGCGGATGCATGCTCGGGGCAGTCAAAGATTTGACTGCTGTACTGTCTGGCGAGATGC